TCGATCGTGTGATCAATTATCGTGTAAAATTTACTGGATTTCATGTATTTCGCGTGGAAATTGTATCGTTCCTTCCAATGATTTAATGGAAGCAGCAAAAATCGGGAGGGCTCCGATTGCACACATCGCATATTGCACACATGTATCGCTGATTGGCCAATTTAAAAATAAAATAATCTCATTGGCAAAACAGTAAAAAATTACTAGGCACCAGTTGATATGAGTGGTGTGTACAATCAGAACTGTAGGCAAACGGGATTCTCCCCAAAAATCATGGATACTGAATTTCAATTATTTTACGGAGACTTTTTTAATATGCAGGACAACATTTTTGATACATTAACTGCGAAAGTAGGTCTGAAACTTGAGTACAAATTTCCGACGGAGGTAATCGCATGTTTGGTGCGAACTAGATCGTATATTAGGTTGCGCAATGTAAATATGCAAATAAAAATAAATAATATAATAAGAAAATAAAGAAAAATAAAAAATATGTGCAATTGTATTTCTAATCAGTAATATTGTTACAGTTTGTAATATTTTATATTTTAATAGGTTAAAATAAAGATTTCATTGTTATTTTAACTTCTAATACTGTTTTTATTAATTATCTGCTGTGAACATTTGAATTCCATGCGTATAGAATGGGCCCTACGTGATTGGTTGACAAAATATGTCCCCCCACTCTCTGCCGCCATTATGCGCAACGACACACCTTCTATAATTCCACCATGGGTTAGCAAGTTATGCTTTATGCATTACGCAAAAGTCTGTATCGCGGCCTTTATTGTAGAAGGCCCATTATGCATAAAACATGAGGCATAAGAAAATCAACCAATCAGAATCCTTTATTTCACGGAAAGAAAGGAAATAAAGGATTCTCTTTGATTGTTTCATCTAATTCTTATGACTCATGTGTTATGCATTATGCAAGAGTCTGTGCTCCCCGCTTTATACTTTTAAGCTCATTTATTTTCTAATAAATTCATATCTTAAAGATTTTTCTATGACTTTTTTTTATAAAGCGACACGTTTTGAAAAAAATATCAAAAAAGAATTTTTTGTAAAATCTGCAACTGATCAGAAATAAATTATCGCAAAAAACGATATCAAAATAAAATTTAAATATTTTAACATTGTAAATATTCGTTTTTAAAATAACAAAATTTATACCGATAATAATTTTTATTATCGGTATAAATTTTGTTATTTTAGTACTTATACATAAGTACTAAATT